GGGGCAAAAATCTAAAATCCAGCCTAAATCGCGGGCTGAATGGTTTACTGAACAGTCATAAACTGTCATTGTGATGGAAACGCAGCGGAGTGCAGTGATGACAGCGCGGTGCGGGCCACATTGCAAGGCCTGGCGGGACGGATTTGGCCCGCGGGCCTTGTGTTTGACACATGTGGATATACCAAGCTTTACCCATAAAAATAGTAGTAATGGACCCCAAGCTGATTGTTCTCACCTTTCAGTGCTTTTGACTTCTGTCTGCCTAATCATCTGGCACCTAGGCCAGACCAGTCCAACCGGTTTCTACTTCATGCTGGCAGCCTCACCTCATCTTGAAGCTGTTACTTGGTGCCCCATACCACCCAAGTATTAATAAGCATTTCTGATGTTTCTTCATGGCATCAATGCACCCATGTCCTCAGAGGCACCTCTTGTAGGGATGCCTCTCACTTCCCCACCCCAGTTTAGTGTGCTCTCAGCCTCACTGTTTCCTCCAGCTGGGCCCCATGTGGGCTTCTAGGGTCTGCAAAGGGCAGCCAGACAGCTCCCGGCCTCGGGGCAAAACACACGTCTCACTCTTTCACAGCACACCAGTGTGGGCTGAGGAGCCCTGAGCATGGGGTTCTTGGTCAAGTCCATCTGGTGGACTTGATTCCTGGTCACAGCGGTCAGTGACCAGAAAACCTGCAGATGACTCCGTGTCATGAGGGGTAAGAGATGTTTATAGTAGGAAGGGCCAAGTGGAAGTTCCTAAAACTGACCCATTCCCTGTCAGTCCCAACCAGGTAAAGTGTGAAGCAGCACCACATTCCTGGGAGCTGAGTGCTACTGCCGGAGACAGGACACAGGCGTCACATCCCCACTCAAGTCAGCTGTCCAGCTCCTGCAAAAAACTGATGTGTTTTGGGGAATACTGGTGAATGAGCACAAACCAGGCCACATCAGTGATCCAGTCTATCAGCCTCCTCACTCATGTAATGTGCCACAGGCAGAGTAGCCTTGGTGACAGAGAAGGACAGAAGGACGACAGCCTCTTACCCGGGCTGAGCTGGTCCCTGCCACTGCTTGTACCCACCAGCAATCACAGACACATACTGATCCCTCGATAAGGGATCCTACAAGGAATCCTGCAGTCTCGTGATGGAACCTTAGGTATACTAAGTTCCCTCTTACCCTGGTAAGAACAGGGACTTGTCCTTCCTGGGTTTGGACCCTATTCCAGAGAGTGACCCTCTAGGCCCTAGGGTTTCTGAGGAGCCCATTCTGCTCTCAGGCATGTACCACCCAGAAGTATAGGGGTGGTAATGCTTTCTTTCCATTCACCTGGAAGATGGTTCTGAATTGTATTTCATGGGGCTCCTCAGTCGGTCCCAAGAGTCATGGTGGCCCCAACTGGAGAATCGTCCTTACATTGGTCCTCCTCCTGCTCCGGCTCCCCGAGGTCACATTTGCAAATGTACCACCTGCACACAAGCCTCTGTGCTTCAAGTCAAACCACGCTGGGACACTGCTGCTCCCAAGAGGCCTTCTGTAGAAAACAAGGACTAACGGAAGGAATTCTCTTGAGTGTCTTTGATTGAGGAAAACAAATCTCTCACTGTTGTTTCCAGGTCTTATTTGATTTTTCAAAGGCACATAATGAATTTTTTGACATCTCATTTTGATAGAGAAACTGTCAGTCTCTGAAAGGATGGGTTTCTTTGGAAAGTGGAAGAGAATGAAGAAGGGATGAGAAAGAGAAGGACTGAAGACTGAGCGGGGGCCGTTCAAAAAGCTGAGGAGGGTGAAAAGGGCCAGTCTGTGGAACGCCACATAGCAGCCCGTGTGGCGCCACTCAGGCCCGTGCTCGGGGAGTGCGCCTGTGGGCACAACAATGGCCGACCTTTACTGAAGCCTGTGGGTGGGCTCCGCTGCTCCAAGCATTTGCTACACCGCTTAGTATTCACAGCAAGCTCTGACGGAACACTAGGTGCCTTCTTGTGCACAGGCTAGAAACAAGGCACACGGACCCTTCTGCTCCTGGATTTTCCCAGTGTGCAGAGCTGGACAGCCCAGCTCCTGACGGTGGGCTCTCCATTAACCTTGGATTATGGATTCGAATTGTCCTAAAATGATGGCATTATTTCACGTTAGACTCAAGTTATCATTGCAGGTTTTTCATCCTATTCACTTTGTATTCATTTCTGCTGCCGAGTGTTTAGCCCAACACCCAACATGCAGTGCGTCTGTCACGTGGCTGTCACAGGAATCTCAGGTGGGCTTGGGATTTTCCACTGACAGCTTTGTTGTTTCAAGTCTCAGCTGAGGATGAAGTAAAAGCCTCCATTTCCTTCCTCTTGTGGCTAAATGTCAGACATATCCTCCTTTTGCAGTTTTTTATGTAGCCATTTCCTGTGCCTTACAGGTAAGCTTCACAAATCATTGACTCAAAAGAATCAGAGCTGGAAAGAACATGAGCAATCACGTACTTCAGGTTAGTAAACTGAGCTCAGGGAAGTTAGGTGACTGAACACAACAAGGAGAGAACAAATGGCTGTGAGAACTCTGCCTTCTGTCTTTTGTCAAGTCCTCTCCCTGTGGTGTCACTATACTGGAAGAATGGGGAATGCAATAGAAGTTACACAGTCTTTGCAAAGCATCATTTGAAATTAAACCTCAATTATTGTAGGCACCGTGTCCCAAACGATGCTATTACCAAGATCTGCCTCTGGGAGCAGGGCTATATTCAGAGGTTACGGACTGAATGTTTGTGTCTTCCCAAGTTCATGTCTTGAAACCTAACCCCCAATGTGATGGTATCAGTAGATGGGGCCTTTAAGACATGGTTAGGTTATGAGAGTGGAGCTCCATGAATGGGACTAGTGTTGTTATGAAAGAGACACCAGAGAGCTCCCATACCCTTCCACCATGTGAGGACACAGTCAGAAGACATCTACAGCCCAGAGGAGAGTTCTCAACAGAATCTGACCATGCTGGCATCCTGATCTTGGATTTCCATTCTCCAGAGCTGTGAGGAATAAATTTATGTTGTGTATAAGCCAGTTGGTCTGTGGTACTTTGTTATAGCAGCCTGAATAGATTAGGACAGGTATCAAGAAAATTGTGAAATAAACGTGCATGTAAGTGTGTTCCCAAGGCAAATGGTATTGAACAATGTTGGTATGTGTTAAGCCTCCTGCATTATGGATCATAATAATCCATCTGTTTATGTCTAATCAAAGTTGCACCAAAGGGAAGGGAGTTTTCATGGATATGATTATGGTTATTTTGCTTTGAAAATATGTCCACAGAAATGAATTTGCATTATTGCTATTGTGCTTTAATTGGGAAATATTTAATTTTTTGTACACATACTACAGGTGGCATAGGAAGTTATTTTAGGTGACACGTCAACAAATATGTTTTATTTAAATATCTGTGTATTTATTTCATATATATTAAAATATATTTGAAACACAATATCTGATAAATAACTGGTAACTAAAATGTATAAAGTTAAAACTCAACAACAAGAAAACCCAATTTAAAAAACAGGCAAAGATCTGAATAGTCTTCTCACCACAAAAAATGTACAGATGGCAAATAAGCACATAAAAAGGTGTTCTGAATCATGTCATCAGGGAAACGTAAATTAAAACAATGAAATACCACTGTACCTACTAGAATGGCTAAAATACAGAGCACGACAATAGCAAATGCTGGTGAGGATATGGAGCAGCAGGAACTCTCATTCACTGCTAGTGGGAATGCAAAGGTACAGCCACTTTGCAATATGGTTTGCAGTTTCTTACAAAATTCAACAATCCAGCAGCATTGCTCCGTGGTATTTATCCAAAGGAACTGAAAACTTAGGTCCACACAAAAACCTGCACACGGATATTTATAGCAGTAATTGCCATCAACTGGAAGCAACCAAAATGTCCTTCATTAAGTGATAGGTAAATACTATGGTACATCTAGGACATGGGATATCGTTTAGTGCTAAAACAAACAAACAAACAAACAAACAAAAAACGAGCTGTCTAGCCACAAAGAGACATGGAGGAATCTTAAATACATATTGTTTAGAGAAAGAAGCCAACCAGAAAAGGCTGCTTACTATATGACTTCAACTATATGACATTCTGGAAAAGGCAAAACTGTGGAGACAATCAAAAGATCAGTGGTATCAGTGGTTGCTAGAGGTTAGGGGGGAGGGAGGGGTGAATCAGCACAGAAAAATGGTGCTGATCTCTGATACCATAATGGTGGGTATGTGACATGCATTTGTCAAATCCAAAAGGGGTACAACACCTAGAGTGAACCTTAAAGTGTGGGATTTGGTTAATACTAATGTATCAATATTGGTTCATTAAATACAACAAATGTACCATACTAATGCAAGATGTTATCAACAGGAGAAACTGTATTTAGGGGGAGGGTATATGGGAACTCTGTACCAGCTGCTCAATTCTTCTGTAAATCTAAAAAATTCTATCAATTAAAAATAACTCAGTTATTGCTCAATAAATAGATGTTACCTATTATTATAAACAGCCAGGGTGTGCCAATCACTGTTTCCTGTTTCATCACTGGAAGTCAGGCCTGTGTAACAAATGGCAGGAGTCTGGGTTGCTCCTGAGACGGAGCTGGCAGCATCATGACTTGCCACCAGGTGGCGCCAAACATATTTTCTTTCTCTCTCTCTCTCTCTCTCTCTCTCTCTTCTTTCCCTCCTCTCTCCTCTTTTCTCCCTTCACCCCTCCCTCTTTCTCTCCTTCCCTCTCCCACCTTTCTCTCCCTCTCTCTCCATCTTCTTCTGAAACACATCCTGAAGAGGGAACCAGCTGGAGTGTCACCCCCACCATGGGCCAGGCCACAGCAGCTCAGGTGCACTGACTCTGAATAGCCCAGAGCAGCCTTCTTAGCCTTTTGGGGTCTTGGTACTGGTGGAAAACCATGGTGACTGACTGCACCTATACACTGCACAGGAGGGTGTGGCATCCTGTCCTTTCTTTTTGGTTAATCCTCAACTGAGGATATTTTCCTACTGATTTTTAGAGTGGTTGGGAGGGGGAAGACACAGAGACCAGGGCCTGGGGATCCAGCTTGCAACCAAGGTATGTTACCTTTGACTGAAAATCAAACCCAGGATCCTTTAGTCTGTGGGCTGACATTTTATCCACTGAGCCAAACCTGCTAGCGCCATCCTGTTCTCAAATGTGGTCACCTTTGTGCACTCCACCTCGCAGAGCTGATGGCAGGCATTAGTGAGCTGCACAAGTGAAGCTGGGCTTGCTAGTGAATCAACAGTGCACTTTCATTTTTATTACAGCCATGTGTAACTCTCACACTGCGGTCCACTGGTGCAGGAAGGCCAGTCCTGGGAGTGTGCTCAAGGGCCACTGGCTCCAGCTTTCATCCACTGGACTCTTTTTGGAGACAAACCACTGAGCGTTTGCTGTTCAGGGCCCAAGCAGAAAGCTGCCTAGAATATGAAGACTGCCTGAGGACCTCACAGAGCCACCAGCCCAACTTTCTCGTTAGTGTCAGAGATCTAGAAAGGTAAAGGGACTTTCCTGGGGCCACACAGCCTGGCACCTGCATTTTCTGTGAAATCTAAGGGAGAAAATGTGTTGGAGGTTTTTAAGCTTTACAGGGCAACTGTCACCCCAAATCGTTGACTATGGAACCTGCTTGTAAGCTGTGTCTAGAAGGGTTTATGTAGTTCACAGTGCAACTTGGCAGGTGCAGAGGGGTTATTTGAGGTTAACAGGGTGACAGAAAGACTGTTTACATAAAACCTCTTAGTTTTAACGAGGAATAGAATAGATGAGGGTTTCCTGCCTCCAAATATGAGACACAATTAAGACCGTATCTGCTCAGGAGAAAAGCAATCAGACTGTTGCCCCACCCCCCACCCCACAATGGAAACAGCTTCTCCAATTTTCTAGAAGTTTTTAGCCAAGGCTGGAGGCTGGCAGGCCTGGAAAATGCTGATGGGTCACATTCCCATGGAACACTGGCAGGTGTGGTGTGTTTTTGTTTAAGTGGAAGTGTACACATAGGTTACACTCTGGCACAAAAAATTATGCCACTCAGAGTCACACTGCCCAGCAACACTTTCTGAAAATGAAAATTCAAAAGATTTATTGAGTGTCATGAAACAACCTAAGTCTTCATCTTCCTTCACTAAACGTTGCTGATAGCTGCCAAGTGGACAGGAGTCCATGCAACTGTGCCAGAAGGAATATACTTAATTGTCCCTTCCAAGAAGGTTTATCACCTTTCGCCAGGAAATCAGCTGTTGATGAGTCTGCGGTCACAGTGACTCTGTGACTGACAAGAAGCTGCAAGCGGCAGGAGGAAAGAGCATCTCTTGAATTGCTGGTCCACAATGATTTTGCCCTTTATGAGGAATGAGCATGTTCCATCTTCTACCACCTTCTACACTAGGAAATGGAGTCATAATGGAAATAGGTGCCTCTGCCTTAGTCCTTGGTGCAGGGAATAAAGAAAAAATAGAGTCACCGACTCCAGAGGACAGGAGGCTGGGATCTGGGCATAAACACCAAGAGTGGAGATGGAGGAGCTGGTTTAGGTAAAGACCACATGGAAAAAGCTCTGGGCTGCAGATCTGAAGGTCTCTGGAGAACTGCTCTATTTTGTTTTCCATGAACTGTAAGCAAGAAGTTACTTTCCTAATTGAATGTACTTAATGCCTCACTTGAAGTGGTTAAATGGTAAATTTTATGCAATGTGTGTTTTCATCCCAATAAAAAGAAACAAGCAGCAGAGTTATTCTCTATTGAATGGGCTGTGGAATCTCCCTTGAAGTACATCTTCCTTGCTGACTTGCACAGCAGGAGGAATGTCAGATGTCTCTTTGAAGAGGAGGAAATGACTGAGGCGCAGAGAGACCGCCCTTGGGCTGCGACAGGGCCCACCTCAGAGGACACTCAGAAAACCCCAGGCTTTGCTACTTTGTTCTGTTTCTGAAAATGCAGGCCAAGCACAGGATCCCCTGTGGAACCTCCTAGCAGTTTCACCTCTATCAGGCAAGCACAAGGGTGAGGCAAGAGGAATATCTGCACAAACATGAGAGTGATTACCTCTTTAAGTTTTATGGAGAATAAAATGAGAAGACCTACCATAAATCTGGTTGGAATTCCAGGAGAAAGAATGCAGCTAAGCCATATTTTAGAAGTGATTCATGAAAATTCCTTATGAATCCCTGAAAGTATAAATGAAAATCCACACACAGGCACTCCAAGATGATCTCCAAGACACCAATAGTGAGAGAAGGTCTCAAAAGCATCAGTGAAGCCAGTCCTGTTTGGCTCAGTGGATAGAACGTCAGCCTGCGGACTGAAGGGTCCGGGGTTTGATTCGGTCAAGGGCATATGCCCGGGTTGCAGGAGGCAGCCGATCAGTAATTCTCTCTCATCATTGATGCTTCTCTCTCTCTCTCCCTTCCTCTCTGAAATCAATAAAAAATTCATATATTAAAAAAAGCTCCAGTGAAAAAGGTGATCACCAAAACAATGAAGACTGATTCTTTATCACTGACGAGAGGCCAAGCTGAAAAGAGAATATTTTCAGTAGATTAGTAAGAAAATAATACTCACCCTAGATGTAATTAGAAGAAACTATCTTTAAAGATGAGACAATATAGAGACATTTTCAGGTAAATAAAAATCAAGAATGTTTGCCACAGGTCGTGCTTACAAAATGAAATAGTAAACATGTATAAGACAGAAAGAAAGCAGAAGGAAGTCAGAGATACAAGAAGGAATGTAGCCGAAACCGGTTTGGCTCAGTGGATAGAGCATTGATTTGCAGATTGAAGGATTCCAGGTTCAATTCCACTCAAGGGCATGTACCTTGGTTGCAGGCACATCTGCAGTGGGGAATGTGCAGAAGGCAGCTGATTAATGTTTCTCTCTCATTGATGTTTCTAACTATCTCTCTTCCTCTCTGTAAAAAAAAAAAAAATCAATAAAATATATTAAAAAAAACACACAGAAGTAGTAGAATACACATAGTATGTGTATACAAAAAAGCTAAAACAAAACTTGACATAACCCAGAATTCCATTAACAATGGACTGAATGAGTAAACTAGCATAATCTTACAATGAAATACTACACAACAGTTAAGTGAGTTAAAGCTATATGCATCAACATCAATAAATCTCACAAGCACAGTATTGAACGAAGACTCAAGACACAGAAGAATTCAGAAGAACTTTAAGAAAAAGTTCAAAAATTGGACCAATTTACTAATACTGCATTTACTTAAAAATATCTAAATGAACTTGTACAACTATAAAGTCCAGGGATGATGCAGTACCAGGAGAGCAGGTACTTCTGGGAGATGATGTCCTCAGGGAGAAGCAGATAGGGACTTCCAGGCTGTTGGCCCTGTTCTCTAACTGTGCTTTGTGTGGTTTTGAGGAGCATATGTTTTAGAACTTTTAATGTCCAATATAGTTATCAATTTTAAAACGAAAGGAAGAGCAGCCTTCTACAGAATTCTGAGACGTCTAGGAAACCAACTTCTACACACCCTACCAAGACTGAATCATGAAAAAAAATAGGAAATTTGAACAGATCAATAATGAATGAAGAGATTGAAATAATAATAAAAGACCTCCCACCAAAGAAAAGGACCAGATGGTTTCATCAGTGAATTCTATCAAACATTTAAAGAAGAATTAACACCAGTCTTTCTCAAAGTCTTCCAAAAAATTGAAGAGAAAGAACTCTTACAAACTCATTTTGGTTGGCCTTAATTACCCTGACCAAATCCAGATAAGGACACTAAAAGAAAACTATAGGACAGTATTCTTGATGAATACATATATTTATATGTTTTAAAAAAAAATACTAACAAAATGAGATCACCAGCACCTTGAAAGGTTCATACACCATGACTGAGGGTAATTTACCCATGGAAAGCAATGCAATTCAATAAATGTGATATACCACATTAATAGAATGAAAGATAGGAATCATAGTTTCATTTACATAGATGCAGGAAAATCATTTGACAAAATGCAACCTTTCAAGAGAAAAATTCTCAAGCAATTTGATGTAGAAAAATGTCTCAACATAATAAAGGCCACATGTGGCAAACCCACAGCTAACACCATACTCAATGATGAAGTGTTCAAAGCTTTCTTGCCAACATTAGGAACAAGACAAGGGTGCCCACTCTCACCACTTCTAGTCAACATTGTACTGCAAGACCTAGTCAGAGCAATTGGGCAAGAAAAAGAAATAAAAGGCATTCACATCAGAAGGAAAGTAAAATTGTCTGCAGATAATATATTTGCTATGTGTATGTATGGTAAAAGAAACAACAGAGATATGGTGATAGGGTTACAGACTTCTTTTATGGATGAGAATCTGGTAACATGTCTATTTCTTTATTTGGGACAAGAAATCTGCAGTTCCATTTCCTATTCACCTTTTATAACTACATAGGACTTTATTAGGTACTTACTTTGATTCTTTACTTTTTTCCTTTAGTCTCATGTATAAATTGCTTCAAATTATTTTCAGAAAAAAATTAGTGTATTCATCGATAAATAAATCATCATAATCCAAACTGATTTGTAAGTAGCCAAGGATTCTTATGATTTGCCTACAACCAATTTTCTTAGCCTTATATCCCAATCTTACTAATATGCATATGGAAACACTGTCATATTGTAAACTTATGTAGTTTTCTGCTTTGATACAACTAGTTGTATAGGATTGTCAGTTAAAATTTGATACTTGGATTTGCCTACAGTCTACATAGTCTGAACCAAATTACTTAAATCCTTTGAACTTCTCAGTATCATTTGTAAAATAGTACTTGTAGGATTGTTGCAAGGATTAGAAGTGTTTTATGTAAGAAGTATTTAAAAGCATTAATAATTATGAAATCCCATTAGCTAGTCACTGGCTGGCTGACGTTGGTTAGAAATGCTGAGCTTGTTTATTATGATTATCTGCCTAATCTTTTTCAGGAATTCGGTGAATACATGAAAACATAATTGAAGCTATATAAAGCACCTCCATATGAAAAGTTTTAATTTTAGTTTCCCCCTCTTTACCTCAACCTGGAAAGTCCTTTCTTACCATATACTAAGACTGAGTTGAGTCCTAATTTTCTGTTCTTGCTTTATCTCAAGGTTCTCCGTGGATGATTTAAACCTCCATTATAATATTTTGACTAGTTTTGTGTCTTTCCTGACCCATGGTTCCAAATTTTGTAACATTAGGCTTGCATTCCCTCATATCTTGCATGTAGTTGGTGATCATTATTTACTGCCTTGAAGTCCTTCTTCAGAGAACACTAAGGTGACTGACTCGCTTGCTCTAGGCTTGCTTCAGCCAATTCCACAGCGCAGCTTCTTAACCGCCCGGCACTTCGCTGGCCCGTTTCCGTGAGAATGTTGTGGGAGTTAGAATGGTCAATAAAGAAGGTTCACCGCATTTGGAACCATGTGTCTTTCATGCACTCCGTGGGAGGACGGGCACACTGAGCACACCGAGGTCAGCTCCGTCGGGCCCGGGGTCCGGGCTCAGCGCTCCCCAAGGCTTTCCTGACTCTGCAAGGTATGGGGGGCACACGCAGGGCCCTTCCTTGGTGGGGGTTCCCATCTTACCCCGGCGGCCCACCTGGGAAGCTTTCTCAGCGCCCTGCTGTCCATAGGGCACTTTTCCTACTTGTAGACCCAAAGGCTGTCCCGGCGGGTGAGCGATCCGGCCACACGCCGGGTTTCCCAGGTAAGGCCGCCACCGGAGCCCCGGCTACCAGGTGACGCCGCGCTCGCCCTCCAGCGCTCCAGGCCCGAACGCGGAACGCGCATGCGCGCGGCGCCGCTCCCCGCCCCCGCTCCCAACACCCCCCCAACGCGGCCCGCCGGGCCATGGAACCCGCCGCGGTGGGCGCGGTCCTAGCGCTGCCGCTCGCCTTCTCGGGCGCCTTCCCCCGTGAGGCCCGCTCGCGCTCGGCCGGGGCTCGGCGGCGGCAGCCTAGGCCGCTTCGCCCGCCTCCACGCTCGGCCGGGCGCGCGCCGCGTCCCCGCGGCCTGTCCCCGCGCGTGCGCGCTCCGCCGTGCGTATGTGTGTGAGTGTGTGTGCGGCCGAGGGGTGGGCCGCCGCCGCCGACGATGCCGCGGGGCCGCCCCCCGAAGCCCAAGGAGAGCAAGGCGCGCGGCGACACCGGTAAGCGGCCCTGGCCGGCCGCCGCTGTGCCGCTCCGCGCGAATGTAGTCCCCGGATGCGGCGCGTGGGGCTCCGAGAACGGCCGGGCCAAGGCGGGGCGGCGAGGGGTCGGGAGGGCCGGGGCCGGGAGGGCCGAGGACGCCACTGCGTCCGACCGCCTTGCCGCCGCCGCCCGACTGCCGGCCGCAGGCGCGGGCGGAATGATACGGCGCGGCCCTCCGCCGGCTGGGCCTACTTTCCTGGGCCCGCGGCGGCGGCGGCGGCGGGCCGGGGGCGAGGTGCACGCCGCCCTCCTCCTCCCTCCTCCCTCTTTTCTCCTCCCCCTCCCACTTCCCTCCTCCTCCCTTCTCCCCCACCCCGCTCCCTCCTCACTCCTCCCTCCACCCTGTACCCTCCACCCTCCACCTTTCTTCCACCTCCTCCTCCTGCTTCCACCTCCCCCCGCGAGTCCGGCGCCTTCCGCCCGCCCGTCAGCGGGGATCGCGCCCCGCCCTGTTCTCCGCCGGATCGTGGAGGCCTGTGGGTGCTGGTGCCGGCGCAGCCGAGCGGCTGGCGGGCTGGCGGGCTGGCGGGGCGGGGAGCCGGTTTGACAGCCGCGGCCCTCGGTGTCCCCAGGCCGCAGGGCCGCAGGGGCTCCTCTCCTCTGGGACGCCGTGAGGTCTTGAGACTGCCGCGCCCGGGCACAGGCAGAGCCCCGTGGTCGCTGACTGTGCGCCCTTGTCCTGCAGGAGGGATGCCCGGGCCCACCGAGCACAGGTGCAGGTGTGGGGCTGGAGCGCATATTCTCCCCGTGGTCCCCCCGAGGTCCTCAGCGAAGGGGGTGCAGCGCAGATGGCGAAGTTAGGGACACGCTGTGACGGGCCGGGGTAGAGGCATTCCAGCCAGGACTGACCCCTTCTTGTAGCCTGGAGTGTTGGCTACTATCCATGGGCGCAGTCGTACCTGGGTTATGGCCATTACACTTGCCATTGCTGGATGGTAGGTGGCTGTGAGGAGGTCCTGAAGGCCCCCCAGCGCCGTGGCCTGGTCCTGTCTCTGCGCATTTACCTTATCTTGTTAACGTGCCTCCTGCCAGAAACCGCCGTCAGGCTCACTATCTGGGTTCCCGGGAAGAAGGCTCAGGACACAGAAGGACCTTCCTGTCCTACCACGTGGCCTAGGTGGTTACCTGGTTTTCCAGAGCGCCCCGCCATGCCCACCTCCTGGCTGTGGAGGCCTGGCAGGTCTGTGGCTTCACCACGAATGTGTATTTCACCTGGGCCCCTATGCTTCCCACCTGGCAGTCATATGTCCCTAGGGCAGGGGCACTTCTGTAGGAGCCTTAATTGGTCTCTGCTCCTCTGTCCTGTCAGCCTCAGGGTCCCCTTAAAGTGTAAATCAGGGGCACACTCACTGGTTAAAACTCTTGAATGGATTCCTCCACCCCTTGACCTTGCATTACAGGAGCCTCAGAGATCCTAAGGGCTGTGGCCTTGCCCAGCTCTCTTTTCTCAAGGGTCCCCTGTGGTCAGATGCCACGGTGTTCCTGTGTCTGGCCTTGCTGTCCCCATGCGGAGAGTCTACCTCCCTTCTCATGCTGTAGGTCTCAGTGTTCCAGCTTCC